CGTGGAATTCTCTACAACTCTCTATGTATAAGTTTTGAATTGCATTTCATTGATTTTTTAAAATTTATTTCAATAGATAAACAATTTATTACAAAACTAAGTATATGTTCTTCTTGAGTTTATTTCCAGAAAACAAATGCAATTCAAAACTTATACATAGAGAGTTGTAGAGAATTCCACGGACTATCCGAATATATAATTACTTTTCTCAAAATGTCAATTTATAGTAATAATATATCGAAAATACCGAGTCTAACTATTTTTTTCCAGGTGGATATATAGACAATATATAGTAGAGGATACATAGAAAAAAATTTTATTTTTCATCTCCTAACAGTCTTAGAAAAACTTCGACATCGATATTTTTTCTGTCGAAATATTTTGTGTAGAAAAACGTTCTCTATTATGTGAAAATTTTGTATTTTGTACATTTCTTTATAACAGAAACTATTGAATTAATAATTCTCGAATAAATCAACACAACAGATCATACAGAATCTTATAAGATCTGACATCCATTGTTTTGACTTGAGATAAGATTCTAGAAAGATCTTACTATCGCATGAGATTTCCTATAATCTTATAGTGATATCTTACAAAGTAGTAAGATCTCTAAGACTACGATTTTTTGTACATTTTTTCATATGGTTTCGTCTAATCCATAAGATCTTATATCTGATTTTTTTGACCTGAGTTGATACAAGTTGACAAAAATTTAGTGAAATCTCACCGACATACTCTATGCAAATACTTAAGAGATACTGCGGCAGATCTGCATTTATCATTCAGAAAATAATGTGAAAAACATCCTCAAAGATACATATTGAATCCTTAAGGTTCCACAAAACCATACAAAATTACGTTTGACATTTGTTGTTCAACATGCTCCTAACAACATCTAACAGATAGAATCTTCTCAGAATTTTGTCAGTTTAGCAGTTCCACATAGTTCATTATTTCATTACTTAAATTCTTCTCTGATATTCATATAAATGATCCTTCTACAAAAAGATTCTGCTATGTTTTTCTATCAAAAGCTTAGATGGAATTAGCATCACTCTTTCTTTGAGGAGCTCCTTACACCAATCTCCAGGTGTTGTTTTTACGATCAAAAAGATCTTGTCAAGAACTAAAAGTGACATAGATGTAAGAATCGTTACCAAAGCTTTTTTTCTCATAGAAAACCAGGAAAAGACTTCTGAATTTTTATCTGCGGAAAGAACATTCTCAAAGATGAATGTCGTATTTGTAGCGCTTACTCCCACGAGAGACGAGATCCCTTCAACAACGATGATATCTTTTCTTTTTTGTTCATTGTAGTAATTCCCAATATTCCAGTTGATGCTCGATGGAAACAGAATGGAGTGACTGTTGCTGGAGGTCATGGAAAAGGCAATGCCACCAATCAACTCTACTACCCTGATGGTCTCTTCGTTGATGATGATCAAACGATGGTCATCGCTGACTACGACAATCATCGTATCATCCAATGGAAGATGGGTGATACGAATGGACAAGTAGTAGCTGGCGGCAATGGCCAAGGAAATCGATTGGATCAATTGAATTGCCCAACCGATGTGTTGATCGCCAAAGAGACGGATAGTCTCATTATTTGTGATCAAGTGAATCGACGAGTCGTACGATGGTCTCGTCGTAGTGGTACAACTCAAGGAGAAATCCTCATCGATAACATCGCTTGTGCAGGATTGGCCATGGATGATCAGAGATATCTCTACATCTCTGACATCGGCAAAGATGAAGTAAGACGATATCAAATAGGAGACAAGAATGGAACTATTGTGGCTGGTGGTAATGACCAAGGTGCTGATCTCAGTCAACTCAACCATCCGCACTACATCTTTGTCGATCAACAACAGACTGTCTACGTGTCAGACAGTCACAATCATTGTGTAATGAAATGGAATAAAGGTGCAAAAGAAGGAATTGTCGTCGCTGGAGGTCAAGGCCAAGGGAATGCTCTGACACAATTGTCGTATCCTCAAGGACTGTTCGTCGATACATTGGGTACCATCTATGTGGCAGATGCGGGAAATCATCGAGTGATGCGTTGGCCTAAAGAAGCGAAACAGGGCACTGTCATTGTGGGTGAAAATGGTCAAGGAGCAGGAGCAAATCAGTTCAACTATCCCTATGGTTTGTCCTTCGATCGTCATGGCAATCTCTATGTCGTCGATGAGTTGAATCATCGTGTTCAACGCTTTTCAATTGAATAGACTCAAAACGATGGATTATTTTTTTTTTGCGGTCCTTTCTCTCAAATAAATCACGTGTAATTGATGAAATGAATGTCTATTCTATTCGCACGCGCGTGACCAGGAACCATCCTGGTGGAGCTGTGGCGAGCGTAACGCTCATGCACGCACAGGACAGACTCATATCATTCATATCCCTCCCACTCGAGAGATATGTCAATGAGTCTGAATAAGCCTGGTCGTGTGCCACGGACACCAAGACAGTTCCTGGCCGAGCTTTTAAGGACTACCCGGAAGTCCTTCATAGAAGACGAAACCCTCAACGGACAGAACTCACCCTCATCTCTCACTAACACTCACTTTTCTGAGTCTCACACACTAAGATAAAATGTGTCGCATGTGTCGTACTTTGCGACACAACATACGACACATTAATATGCGACACGAGGAGCTCGTTGCGACACATTTCTTCCAGCGGACGTACGACACATTCTTGTGCGACACATGCGACACATTCTTGTGCGACACATGCGACACATTCTTAACACGTGGTTCGAATTCATTTTTCGGCACGAGGATTTTTTTTTGAAAATTCGAATAGTTACTATTTTTCCAGTTAATTTCAAATAGTAGCACCTATTCTTGGAGCTCAAGACGGTAGATCTTAAGATCTACCTGTCTCGAGACCATTTGATCTCGATCAGACTACTTCGAGGCAGTCCATTCTCGATCATCTAGCGACCTCTCGACATGTTCTCGAATAATAAATGGCCGAGATATAATCTAGAAAAAAAAGACATGTAAAAATGTATAAGTCAAGTACGTCCAATAGGCTCGATTATATTCAGCTGCGCTTGCGAAACAAAACGGTGAATGAACGATTGACATATAGGCTACGACACATCTATAATGCGACACATTTTTGTACGACACATTTTTATAATGTAGTCTGCGACATATTCTTGTACGACACATATATACGACACATTTTATTTTAGTGTGCATCCTCACCCTCCTCAATCTCAATGTCACTATCTAACCTCATCCTCCCTCTCACCCTATCCTCTTTCTCAAGAGAAAAAAAGAAATAATTACTTACGTTCTTTGACGTTGGACGATGATGGTGTTGTTGATAATGATGCGATGATATCGATCACTAAAGGAAAAAAAGAATTTCATTGAAGGTAACTGTATTGAAAAGAAAAAAATAACTTACCCCACTGTTATCTGTTTCGTTAACTTTTCAATATCTGAAATAAATAAAAAACATTAAAAAAGTTTTTTTCTTAGTTAGAATCAATTTCTGATCTAAAACGAAAAAAAAAACGAAATCAAACATAAAAAGGATAACTTACCACTATGGGTTTGTTCATATTGATCTGAAAAGGAAGAAAAAAAAATTAATTAAAAAAAATTCTACTTACTTGGGAAATTTAATAGCTACAACAAAAAAAAGAATGTATAAAACAGATCAAAGGAAGTCTTTCTACTATCCTTATGATCCAAATGAATAAGAAATAGAAAAAGAAAAAAAAAATTAAACTTTATACCTACATTTTTTTATTATATTGTGTTGTTTTGTTTTGTATCGTTGATATTGATCTAAAACATAAAGGAAAATTATTAGAATATGATTCAAAAACTTGAATGATTTTCTTCGAAGAAATCATTCATATTTATACCCTCATGATGGTTATTGGGAGAAAAATTCTTTTTTTTTTCTTGCCATCGAAGAATGATTAAAAGATGAATCCAATTAAGCTTTCATCGGGACACATACGTACATTGAGATAAATTCAATTACCATGTATCCCAATGTATGTGTATGGACAAAACTTAATTGATCGACATTTTAATTATACATGTGATCATTGATCATCAATGACAACATGAGCGATGACTTATGGACGGGACAAGGAAAAAAGAAAATTCTTTTATCGTTCTATTTCTTTTTTTCTTTTCTCTTTCTCACTCACATGTTTGACTGCCTTCACAGGACACGAGAAGGCAAAAAAGAAAGAAAAAAAACAAATTTTTGCTCTCACATGTTCAGTTAATGTACAGAGCGATGAACAAACACACACACACACACAGATGTAAGATATGATGTTTTTATTATAACATATTTCTTTTGAATCAAATGAAATTAATTTTTTTATTTGAAGGAATTATGTATTTTGTTTCATCGTTTTTGTCTGTTTTTATCAATAGTTCTTATCTTCACTTGAAGATCATTTTGTATATGAATATATTAATGATGAACAACAAGTAATATATGCATTAACCGAAACAAAAATTTTATTATTTCAACCTCAGTGCCGTCGTTCGATTGTGAATTCATGTGATGATTGTCTACTTTAATATTTAAAAGAAAATGAAGATATATATATGAAATTAGTTCTGAATTTGTATTATCATGTCCAGAAAACAGTGTAAAAAAATCTTTTGTTTTTTATTGTCTCAAATTAGAATTTAGAAAACTTTTTAAGGCTATTTCTGTATCAAAAAGTAGTCGATCTTTATCATACTGTCAATATTCATCTGCAACTGTCAAATGATTTGTTAGAATTTGACAACATACATGGTAATTAAGCAAAATGTCAGTTTTCTTGAATAATATTTTTTTCTATTTATATAGAGGAAATTCAGTGATTTTATTTATTATCTCGGTAATCTGTTCGAAAAAATCAACGTGATCAAGTAATACATGTTACTTCACATGCAAGTATCGATGAAAAAATATCTTGTAAAGAACTTTCTATTTTTTTTATTAGCATAAGCATATGTAACGATTTGCTTATAAATTCTTTAGACATTTCATATGGAAAAAAAATGAAATCTAAATATGTTGTGCTAGATCACTATATAATCTTATCTTATTTTTATTTGTTTATTATTTTTATTTGTTATATAAAATACAAAATATTACGTCAAACGAAATGTCGTACGTTTCTGAAGCTGAGTTATGATCGTATTTTATGAATTTTCAACCGATTGAATATTAGCTAGAAAATTAAAAAGAACATATATCAACTGAAACTATTGCTACTTTGTTAAGATACTTAATATTCAAAAGTTGGTTCGATTTCATAAACTGTTGAAGAAATTGGAAGTTTTTAAATATTTAAACTTTTACAATATTTCTAGGATGACTAGATCTAAGTATCGACAAAATTTTCGATCAAAAAATTTTCCGATCAATAACCTGTCACATAGGTAAAAAAAAAGAATCTTTGTTAGGTGAATTTATAACAACAGAAATGAATGAATCCTCAATAAGGAAAGAACAAAAGATTAAGAGAATATATTTATATAATATTGTTTTTAGTTGTTTGGAGAATGTTTATCTTTAATGGGTAACGCTGATGAATTCATGTGTACAGTTAATTGAATTAGTGATCCAATAACAACAACATCGTTAGATTCTCTATTATTATTACTTTCACTATCAACACGTGATGATAGTACATTACTTGATCTATCATTAAATATGACCTATTAAACGAAAATGTCAAGATAAACATTCATATATAAATGAACAAAATAATAATACATCAAATTCAAAACATTTTAAGAGTACTGCAAATGAGAATGTATTAGATGACAATATTGTTATAGATAAATCGGAATGAATAAATTTTTTCGAATTTAAAAATCAAAAGAATAAAAAAAATTCTATTTATTATTGTAGAAAAAACAGCAAAATATTAGAAAAAGATAATTAGTATTGAATTAGAATGGAATTAAAAGAAACTTAACAAAATTATTGTTAATTACCATGTTATTAAATATTATTCGAGTAAGATAATTATTCAATGAAAGATATTTTATTAGTTGCAAGACCTAAAAAATAAAGAATAATTACTAGTGAAATAAACTTTATCAATTAATATACTACTAATCCAGAAGTTTTCATAATATTGAGAATAATAATTATATACTCCTGACGACCAATTTCTTGTATTGTGAGCAAGAATAATTTTTAAAATGCATTGGCCACTCAAAATTCGAATTCAAATTTTTTTGTTTTGGCGTGATTCGACAGAACCTGTTGAATTACTTCTGAAAATATTCTATGTTGTTGATAGACTCAAACAATGCTATTATGACAAAAATTAGATTTGCAAAAAAATATTATAAATTGATCCAATCTCAAAGGTTCGATATTTTTCAAAGATTTTACCCGTCATTTACTTAAGAAAAAAATCTATGTATACTTTTTTGACAAACATTGTTTGATTGTTTGATACGATAGCAAAGTATGAATACGAACTCGCTTCTCAACAATCAAACAATAGTTTTCAAAAAGAATGCATAAATTTTTTTCTGCTTGTTTATCAGTCGAATAAAACCATTAAGAAAATAATCGAGCTTAACTAGATTTTATAGCTTCGACGTATTTCAGTATTCATAGACTGTTACGGAATTCTTCTCGTACTAAACTAATCACTCATATTGTACAGTAGTGTGCGATATAGGTCAAAGTTCTTGTGATCCAACCCGAGTCGGACACTTATTGAATTTTAACTGCAACAGTAATGAAATAGTTTAATTCCCTTGCATTATATTAAGTCATCTATACAAATCGTTACTTTCGTCTTCGAATGAATTATTTTTATAATCAATTTGACTATTGTTTTTCAAACAACTTTTTTTTTCTAATAGATTTTAGAAAATTTTATGCTAAAACAATGGAAGCGATTTATATATTAGATAAAAACAAATGAATCCTCGCTTTTATGATTATGTTAAAGTAATTTTATTTCATTGAATAGATAACGTAAAATATAAAAAATTATTTCGAATGGATTCGTAAACATAAAACTCAATTAGGTAAACAACATTTAGCTGCATTTAATGATGCAATCTATTCAACGTTTACTTAAATATACATCAACAGTATATATTGACTATCAGTTATTAATAAATCCATTGGATTACTACTGTCAATAATTGTCGAGTAAGAAAACGATTCCGACAGTATTAAGTATGTTTTGTTTTTGTTAAATTTTAGTCAGAAT